TTCAAGTGTGATATTACCTTAACAGTCGTGCGGCAAATTTCTCTAATAAAAATGAATCTGAAAAGCATTGCAATTATTAAGTTAAATGTGCACCATTTGGAGCACAACGGTTACCCTTGGGTAGAAGTTTAATTTTGTAATTAGATTTGATTTATTATTAGCTACCTAAATAACAACTTTATAGCAGTTGCTCAATTTTTTACAGTTGATGATCGCAACATTCTACTTTACACTTTATTGGTCATTAGAAAAACAGTGTCATTTATGCTTGCACTCCGTGGAAGAATTGTATATACCTACATCTGCGAAGCTCCAAGGATCAATATGTTGATCTTCTAAATCCAAATAATTGTCGCGAAATATTTAGGTTATGAAAGTTATTACAATGCAGGTAATATTTTTGGCAAAACGTGATTGAGGTCATAATTTTTAATGAGAAAGTTCTTATTGTTGATAAAACATTTACTAAATTGTTAATTAAATTTTGACAAAAATAATACCGTTTCAAATCACAACTTTCTAAAGTTCCTAAGTAAAAGCTTAGGTTTGGACGGTTTCTAGGATTGTGAGAAGTACTTTGAAACATTTCCGTAATTCTTTTTTACATGGTGTTCCTCATGGGTCCATTTTACAATCATTTTCAGTTTATTGTTCATGAGAACATTCATTAGTTTTTAGGAATAATGGTGTTCAGTAGTCGCCGTTCTGAAAGCGTTGATAACGTAGCTTTGAGCCAACACGTTCAGATCGCTACCTATATTTGGGCAGGTTGACACAAAATATTAGTTTTTGCATTAGTCGACAAGGATTCTGCGGTTAGAAGCGGCCCTGGATGCATGTATAAGAAATAAAAACAATTTGGTTGTAATTAATCCTAAAAATTTAATGGTCACGCATTAATTGTATTCCGATATTAAAATTGCAATAATTTTTGTGAGAAATTTTATAGGGACTCGCATTGATGTTGCACAACAGTTCGTTTACATACTTCAAGGTTAAAATGGGAAGTAAACATGCAAGTAGGTACGTTTAAAACAAATTGGGTTTTTAATTTAAAAAAAAATAGCGCAGTTACGTTTAGCAGACCGAAAAATAGTGAACTCCCCAATTAATATGAATTTTAGGTATATTCTGATGGATCACACTAATTAAAACAGCAAGTCAGCCTAGATGAGACCATGCTTTTAAAACTATGAAAGATACAGCATTCTTGAAATGCTTCCAAATTTCATATTTGAACCAAAAAGGGTTGCTGAAGGACGAGGTAGTAGTTGTTTACTTTCCAAAAATCTAGGGAAATAATTCATGGACGGACAAAATGCAAACCATACCACTTATTTACTGTACTTTTAAATGTCATATTTGTAAAATATGTAAATTTCTCTGGATAGCCGAAACTACCTATAACATTTCTACCGATACAAACAACACCACGTACACGTCTTAAAAGGTGTTGGATAGATTTACAACTACTAGAAGTGTAAAACGAGCAATGAGAGTTAAGCGGAAGCCATTTTTGAAGGAAGATAAGTAATTGCAAGTTCTCTGTTGATAATCCTCATTTAGTGTGCGTGAAATTAGTAGGAACGCGGATGTTTCAATGCGTTCTGTGCATCGTACTCTTCAAAAGTATGCAAGTTCTATCCGTTCCAGATTCAACTTCACCAGGAATTGCATCTCAAGACAAGATTTCTGCATACGGGCCTGGAGGAACCCTATCTTACACGCGTGTTATTTACGGATGAATCGACGTTCCATAAAAATGGCGCAGTCAATCACAACTCCCATTATACGCCGATGAAAACCCGAATGCCATACTGGGTCTACACCTTCTGGGTCCTTACTTCTTCTATTCCTTCGTCGTGGCGATTCGTGGAACTCTCATACAATGTCGTAGCCGTTCGACAACAAATGGTTTTCTAACACGATGGAGCTCCTGCAGCCGAATCTTGATGAAAACTTTCCGGACTCATGGGAGGCCAATAAGGTGGCCGCCGAGATCGCCATACCTCACTCCCGTTGATTTCTTCCTCTGCGACTACATCAAGGATGAGGTGCATAAGACGGTGCCAAGTACTGCCGAGAACAAGCGAGAGAGATTCATACGGCTCTTCAGGGCGATGTCTAGGGCCTGCGGTCCAGGTCGCGGTTATGCCACCAATGGGAAGGTCGCCATTTCGAACATTTATTTTAGCTTGTTGTTTTTTCTCTGAAATTTTGTAATTTCGGCTATCCAGAGCTATTTGTTTGTGTGTGTGTGTGTGTGGGGGGGGGGGGATTTGAAATTTAAAAAAAAGTTACATTTGGCGCAAAGGTCAACCAAAAATTTCATTTTTCGATAAAGTACCTAAAAAAATTATGTGGCAGTGGAAGAGATCTCAGCCCATGCCTCAATTTAAAACTTGGTTGCCGGCGCGATTTAGTTGAAGTTAAAAATTGAAAAACTATCGAATTTGGAGGAAAAAAGGTTATAACAGCGAAATGCAAGTAATTCCCAAATCTGCAATAAAGTATAGGGAGTTGCATTACAAAAAATACGCTACTGGAATACTGTAATGATGCCCCTGGTGCGGTCAAAAATATTTTAGAAACATGACGACGGTAATTGTGTACTTTTTTCGGTATCATTTATGGTAAAGGAATTATGATACTAGTAGAGTGCTCCGTGGCAGAAATTATGACTTCCGTGGGGGTTTTGGTGTCACAAGCTGAAATTCACAAAAAATGAAAGGTCATCATATACTGATTCTAAATGTCAAGGCCGTCCAAAATCGGTCCATGCATTAGGGCACAAAACGCAAAAAACGAGTTAAGCACATGTACGGAAAGAAGAAAAAATAACGAATTTTTTCGTATAGAAATCAAAATTTTCTTTGTACAGTGAAAGTAATAATAAATTATCAAACGTTTCCAATTACATTGGGTTTTACGGAAGAATTAAACTTCAAACGCGATTATCTCAGTTCGATATCCCTAAAAATGCAACTTTTGCGTTTACATCGTATTATTTAATAAACGGAAGCCTATATCAAAAAGTTTTACTCTTAAAAAAAGTTTCGCTTATCGTTTATCTTTACATTGCACTGAGAATTATAATTTTACGTGCAATAGTAACCAAAATATGTAATTAAAAGTAAAACAACGAACTTTTTACTCACTTACAAACGAAGCGCTTTCGCTCCGGTGAATACAATCCATCTCTACATTTCCCGTAGCAAAATTTCGCTCTTACTCATAGGTACGTTCTCGACACGGGTATACCAAAGCTTTGCCAATATAATTGATACAGATAATTATTAATTACATAAATCAATGAATGTGAAACTCAAAAAGAGACCAAACCATAATTTTAAGAAACATAAAAAAAATTGTAGATACAGAACATCGCCTTATACTTACAACCCCAGGTAACTTTTTAAATGTGTCATACTAAATGATATGCACTTAATAACAAAACAATAATACCCTAAACTAACACGTAGCAGTAATGTGATTTCTTTTCCTAGGTAAGTGCATTAAAAGAATGACAAATAGAAAAAATTTGATTCCATTTATTTACAACCTTTTCGTCAACTGAGCATTCAGAATCGCCGTGCTCTTAGATGTGATGTCAGTAGAATTTTGCACGATCTTTGGACCATGCTGGGGCATAACTTACCCTTTATACATTCAGTGAGAATTTAGAACAGTTAAATTGTTAGGAATTGGCCGCAATGTGATGAAAATGGACAAAAGTTAGCCATAAGTTGCCACCAACAGAATACTCACTGTTTAAGGGTGTGTTTTTAAATCAAAATATGGCACCCTGTCCAAAATTGCCCCCCACAATGAATAGTACTTATATTAGTAGAAAAAGCGAACTTTTGCCCATTTTCATCACATTGCGGCCAATTCCTAACAATTTAACTGTTCTAAATTCTCACTGAATATATAAAGGGTAAGTTATGCCCCAGCATGGTCCAAAGATCGTGCAAAATTCTACTGACATCACATCTAAGAGCACGGCGATTCTGAATGCTCAGTTGACGAAAAGGTTGTAAATAAATGGAATCAATTTTTTTCTATTTGTCATTCTTTTAATGCACTTACCTAGGAAAAGAAATCACATTACTGCTACGTGTTAGTTTAGGGTATTATTGTTTTGTTATTAAGTGCATATCATTTAGTATGACACATTTAAAAAGTTACCTGGGGTTGTAAGTATAAGGCGATGACCGATGTTCTGTATCTACAATTTTTTTTATGTTTCTTAAAATTATGGTTTGGTCTCTTTTTGAGTTTCACATTCATTGATTTATGTAATTAATAATTATCTGTATCAATTATATTGGCAAAGCTTTGGTATACCCGTGTCGAGAACGTACCTATGAGTAAGAGCGAAATGGAGCTACGGGAAATGTAGAGATGGATTGTATTCACCGGAGCGAAAGCGCTTCGTTTGTAAGTGAGTAAAAAGTTCGTTGTTTTACTTTTAATTACATATTTTGGTTACTATTGCACATAAAATTATAATTCTCAGTGCAATGTAAAGATAAACGATAAGCGAAACTTTTTTTAAGAGTAAAACTTTTTGATATAGGCTTCCGTTTATTAAATAATACGATGTAAACGCAAAAGTTGCTCAAAATTTGTCAAATTTTTAGGGATATCGAACTGAGATAATCGCGTTTGAAGTTTAATTCTTCCGTAAGACCCAATGTAATTGAAAACGTTTGATAATTTATTATTACTTTCACTGTACAAAGAAAATTTTGATTTATATACCAAAAAATTCGTTATTTTTTCGTCTTTCCGTACATGTGCTTAACTCGTTTTTCGCGTTTTGTGCCCTAATGCATGGACCGATTTTGGACGGCCTTGACATTTAGAATCAGTATATGATGACCTTTCATTTTTTGTGAATTTCAGCTTGTGACACCAAAACCCCCACGGAAGTCATTTCTAGACGACTTCTTTGCAACGAGCACTCTACTATACGAGGGGTCTAGATGCTACACATTTTGCTGGATATGTAGGTATATTGTCAATATTGGGCATTGTATTTCAAAACAAATGAAATCATAATATTTACATGTGGCTAAATAATTAATTTAATATTAAACATATAAATTTGGGTTATGTGGTACTGATCGATCTTAATTATTGTTCATTAAAAATACTTCTTCAAGCAGCTGAAATGTAGTCGCGTAGGAGGGTCCCTCTTAAGATCTCAACCCTCAGGTGGACAGACGACATATTTGTACGCGCGTTCAGGTGTAATAGCTAATGACGTATGCTTGGATGCGTAGAAGTAATTCTGCTTGAACTAACAACAAATTAACAGTTACACAAACGCGAGGAAAATGAAAATGGGAAAGTGTTCGTTAACATAATTACCGTTCATTTTTTTATTTAAACATTGGTACGTAATTATTATTTACACGCAACTTCCTTGTGAGATGACCGCTTATTTTGAAAACCTTTCGACCAGACCAAACTTGTGATTCGAGCACGTTGTGTCGTTGAAAGGGATAATGTTGTAATGTGTCAATAACAATAAAGAAATTTATGTTTGTCCAAGGTTCTCAAGTTGTTTGCGCAGAATCGTGTCGTCAAACACTTTAAAAGTTAAGTTTACTAATCACTGATAGTTTATTCGGTTGGCGCGTGTTGAATTAAAGTGAATCGATGATTGAGAGTGTTACGTTATGGGTCCAGAAGCACGTCTGTGTTACGGAATACCAAGCACCTCACTTGAGCATCTTCGCAACATCCTTCTCACGTCTTTGCCTCACGAAAACATTGCCAAACAGGATAGGCTACGTGCGGCGAATTTAAAAAAAATTATTCTGCCTTGCAGTACAGGTGAGCGAAACGTTTCCAAAATCAAAAATCCTGCCCCATCAAAAAAATTTTTGCCGTTCCACAACGATTCCCAAACTTATACAGTTTTAGGCGTCTCCTTGAACGAAATAAATTTTCATATCATAGGAAAATCCGCATGATTTAATGCGTTTCGATTAGATTATGTAAATGATTCATTTTGCTGGACACGACAGTTACTTGTATGTTAGTAATCAATTTTATTCATTTTCCTGAAAGGATGCATGATCGAGTACGAATTTGGATCATGACGTTTTTTTAAGTATATGGTAAGTTAGTGCCAAGGACGCTATTGGAATGTACCTGTACAAAGGCGGGGGGGCAGAGAGGCGTGTTTCCTCATTAGTTATTACCTAATTCTTTCGCATTGCAAAAGAATCTTAAATATTTAGCGCGATTACTTTGTTTCTAACAATTTTTATTTGTTGCAGCTGGGTCCCGTCCTTCATCAGCCAATAGGGGTGAGTGTCTATTGGGAACTATTGCTGTGCACGTCTTTCATTAGTTGTACCCACATGATTTTCAATCTCTGAGGATTAAACTCCTAGCGAAGAGTAGTCAAATCAGCGGTGGGGTTTTCACTACAAAAAACCAAACAATTTTTCTTTTAGAACTCTTTCACATACGAATTTTTTCACGGCCTTCTGATAAATGTCATCTTCTCGATGTAACTTGGACCAAATCGTAGTTTAGTATTTCTGTATTGGGAACGACTAAAATTGAGAATAAAAAAATGACTGATCGATGTGACGAATGCGATATTGGGTAAATGTAATTGATTTGTTTGTTATATTACGTGAATTAGTGCAGTAAAAATAGTAATGGGTTTAACAGGCGAGTATATAAACATTTGTTGATAGAGGTGACCAAAACATTTTTTTCTAAATAAGCCAGGTCGAAAGTGGTTTATTTGGGTACCCCCAAAAGTACCAATACTTGTATTTCTTTTTTTCCCATCAACGCAGAAGGGCCTTTCCTAGGATGTTCTTTCCGATTTGGTACATTTTTCAAAAATAGTTGTACCCAAAGATTGCGCTCTTAAATTGGCGTGCGAAAAAATTCCGAGCTTGACTTCAAAGTCGATCAAATTTTATTGCTTTAAAAAGCTAACTCATGAAACAAAATGAGGGATTTTGAATTTTTTTTACTGTCATGAATTATCCGATTCTTATAAATGTTATTTTAGGGTTGAAATGTTGATGTCTGATTCTAAACGTCAATTACTACAAAAAATACAGAGTGTTCTAGATCCAGGAAGATTGCATGGGTCTGTTATTGATGTACTTTATAAAACCGTGCCCGATTAAAATGTATTATAAAGAGACTGAAAAGCTCCTATTCGGATTTACACAAAAATTACATATTTCCACTTAACGTAATCGCCGTCTTCAGTAGTACTTTATGCAATACCATATTAAAAATTGGGTTGTTCTTTAATACCCAGCAAGGTTTATGAAATCATTCTTTTGCATAAAATAAATTTGCTCAACATATCCCCCCCCCCCCCCCAATACTTCCAATACTTTGTTGCAGATTTCACTTCATTATAAATCCCTCACTTGTAGTGCCAACTATGGCAACAAATTAGTTTCTTGAAAACTTAACTTGGTTTAGACCCCCTCATCTTCCCTTTATGGGTATCCACTTGATTCTAGTTTTTGGTGCCTTAGTTAACAATAATTTACTGTATTGGTTCAAGAATGACAAAAAAATCTGAAAAACGGGTCTCGTCTCCAAGACGCAAGTAATACGGGATACACCTGAACACATTTATGAGAGTTAGATTTATGATGCTGAGAAGGTATTTTTCTGGAGAAATTTGAGGAAAAGCCCCCGGACTGTTTGAGATCTTGGTACTGAGTCTAAAAGTTATCATTTTTTTTCTTATTTAGATTTGATTGAACTAAAACAAAAGGATACTGTCAAAAAAGTGCGTGCCATTAAATTAAAAGTAATCCTAGACATGATTTTAAAAATGTGTGCCGATGCATTTAAAATTTGGGCGTGTACCCTTCCGAAGAAAAACAAGTTGTAAATCAGCATGTGCATGATGAAAGCGCATTTTTTGTAATCCAGATCAGTATCTTTTAGCAAAGTTTAAAATCATCGATTTCACTAGTAATTTTACTTACAATAGACTAGAGCCTGCACATCTAGGCGATATCAGAAAGCTTTTAGTGAAAATTTGAACTCTCTGACTCTTCTAATTGCTGAGATCTCAGCCGGACAGCAAGCCAGGCAGCCAGCCATAACGAATATAACAGCGTATTTTTTTAAAATATGCGCTAAAAAATGTGATACGTGCCGAAGATCAGATATGCAAAATAACTTTAGTCACTAGCGCTAATACTACAGCTTAATCCCTTATTTACGTGTTGATTTTAACACTTTCCCCGTCCATATTTGAGTTTTAGCGAGAATTCATGAGTTTTTCCAAAGATTGGCGATAGGTACTTTAGAGACCGAAATATTTGAGACCTTTGGTGTATTTGGAAGAAATGCTTTTTCTACTCGACTTAATTGTTACTCTGTAGGTATACAAATTTATGGCATAATGTTTGCTTATATTTACTCACAAAGGGCTATAATAAAATCTTGTTTGAAATTCGCAACTTCTTTCTTGAAGGATAAACGAGTAGAAAAACTTGATGAAACGTAATAGCAGGAAATTTTAAAAAGTCCTCTTATTATGCACCGAAGGACCATAAAAGGCAATACAATAAAACTATTATGCATTATCTTTTCTATCGCATATTGTGCCTTGTAAAACTTTGCTAACGGTAATCGCAACAATTAATCACTATATGACAAAAAGCTCCATCAGCTGGAAATAGAAAGTAGTAACTAATTCAAAACCAGTACAGTTCTTATCATTAACGAATACAAAAATTTATTGTAAAACCCTATTAATAATTAAATAGATTGAATTGACCTAAATGTAATAGCTTGTATTACCCACATGGTGAGTAATTTAAAATAAAGTAGTTAATCAATGCACGTTAGATGTACGATATACCATTTAAATTTTGTAGGGAATGTGTTGTCCGTCGTCTCTTACACTCTTCCTTAATTACGTTCGAGGATTGTTTAACACTTGGTTTGGTTAACTGGTTTCGTATTTATTGATATATAGGATGGACAATTTTTGGTTGAATATGTCAATTTGTTGTCGTCATTTTTGCATTGCAAGTGTACATGTCATACAATATTCGATCGTAACTCAATTCTCAAAGCAAAATAACGTAAAACCCAATCGTTTTGAGCGATGCCAAGTGCCAAGAAAAATCTTGGCCATGCGTTGATTCTAGCCCAAAATGTCAAAATTATTATTTATGAACCATGCGCCAAGACATGCAAATTCATATTATCGAAAAAGTAGCAATAAATTTGACTTTCCAAAGAAATGTTATACGTGTGATGACAATGACGCTGTTGTGTTCCAGGTACAATGCATTGGTTTGCTCATTTGGGATCAGATTCTAGTAATGTGGAAGGTAAAACGTGTGCAATTTAGAACTCTTAACTAACAATTTAAAACCTGATTAATTTTTTATACAATTTATTTATAACTAGTGATTTTGAGTGATTGTTTTTATTTTGAAATAACTTTTTAACACTACAATTAACAGTAAGATGCAACATGCAACTAAACCATAGCAGAAACACTTGACACTCGTCTGTTATTCTGGTAATTATTGTGGTTTGTGAATCACCTAACACATAATCTCTGTTTAGTAGGCACCCTTCTGTAACTTACTTGCAAGATTGAACAAGATCTGCTGAAGACGGCTTTGTAAGTTGTCAAGAAACCTACGAGTAAAAATTAAGAGGAAAGGAGCTGCATTAAAAGGGCACGTGACTGAAATGGATAAAATAGAGGTTATAAGAGTGGGGGAAACGCGTCACCATTGGCAGTGGCGAAATAAAATAGACTGACATCGTCTCTTCTGTTTTATCACAAATCAAGGCAATACAACCCACCAGCGCAAAGGAGGTAATGTGATGGCGACTTCCGTCCCGTGCTATTTCCCACCACCGTTACATTCTCTTTTCTTAATTTTTGCTCGTAGGTTCAAACCCATCCATTATAGTGCGCAACGGCCATTTTGAGTTTAAAAAAGAGCGAACATCCCTTAAATCGTGGCTTTGTAGCCATCTTGGATTTTTCAACTCTACATACCTAGTTCTTGTTCAATATCTCAGAAAGGATGATTAGTATGAAACCTTGGGGTAAAGAGGTTTTGGATTATAATAATAAAATACAAGGTGCTCTGATGTAATTCAGATTATAGGAATCGTGCATCAATGCATTATTAAAGAGGCGGATGGAGAGTATGCAGTGTTAAGGACATTTGGTAATTTTTCTCGTAATCGCAGGAAAATAGTGGTAAACGTATAGATACCATTTTTAGGTAAAAATGGTTTGCCATTTTTCCGCCGCAAGGAAAAGTACTCTTTTACCTCACAACAATTTTGGTTTTTGAAAGTATTTTCCTATTACTCGTAATACACATAAAATTATCAACGTCTTCGTGTGAGATCGAAGGGACTTTTGTGTGGCAGATCAGTATTTTATTAGCCAGTTTTGACTCCACTATCAGTAAGATCTTGTCGGGGGAAACCGCATTTCCTTTATCGGTACCCATGTCCCCCCCGTAATTCACGTTTAAAGTTTTGATTCAGCCATCAGTAAGATCTTATCAGTGGCTACCACATTCCCTTTGTCGGTACTCGCTTCCGACGTCCCATGATTCCAAATCATCTTGCATTAATGAACCTAATAATTTCTGTCAAACAACTTTTTGTCACGGTATTTACCGCAAAAATTGAAAAACATAACTTATCCGGTTCAGAGGAATGGCTTCTTCCGTCATCCTGAACACATTTTAAAACTATTTATTTGATTGGCAACACACAGATATCACAGAACCCTCTTTGATTAACTCTTAAAAGTGTAGAAAATATTCTAAAAGCCATTCAAGGTAAAAATGCGGAAACGAATTATTACGTGGGCTAGAGCAATTCCCTTGGTTCTAACAGATACATTTTTTATAAGTGCTAGAATTGAATTCCACAAAGTAATTCCAATAGTCAATACACGAAAAAAGAAGATACCTACTACTCATTAGGACAGAAAAAGTAAAAATGGCTTCGATAAGAAAAAACAAAGTTGATGATGGTTAATCTGAGACGAAACGTCAGATTTAAAATTTAAAACTGGTATCTTGTAGTAAATGTAGAGGGAAAAAAGTGGCTATAATAATGTGTTTTATTTATTTTATTTTTGTGCGAATAATGTCCAAAAGGAGTGGGAATTTTTTCAGTTTCAAAACGGCATTTTGTTAAACATCAAAATAGCAACCGTGCCATAATTATCTATCTTTTACAGTTTCTCAAATCCCCATGGTGGCCCTCGAATTTGAATCATCCTTTCAAAACAAAGTGAATTGCATTGGAAAAAAAAGTGAAACGCAAACGATCGACCGCATTCACGACGCAATTCGCAATCCATGGGAGGGGTATAAAAACCTCAAAAGTCTCGAGTATAAATGTACATTACGAATATGTTTATTCTTTAAGCCTGTGATGAAAACAATTTATTGCGTTTTTCACATTAACCTAACCTAAATTTTAAATAATAACAAATTGCAACTTTGACGTTTCTTTCGCATGCGCAGATTGTACGGAGATTTATGCGTTTTAGCTTAACGTGAGTTAGGTTCTGTGGTGATGATTCAATATAAAAATTAATCTGAAAGAAATAGAGTCGTTTTTTGTAGTTGCTGACGCAGGCGGCCGATCACATGGCAAATGAAAAATGGTTATACCGCGCGAATTTAATAATAGTAATGACATTTATGTAATTTTTCTTTTTTTGTAGGTATGCAGAGTAGCACAAATGTTTCGTAAATAGTATACGAAAATGTTTTAGGTGCATATTATCGAGTGCCAGGATCTTTTACAAATAATAGGCTGTTGAATTCCATCTACAATCTAAGCAACCTATATTTTAAATACTCCTTAAAATTTACAAATTGGAACAAACAAATATTGGGAAATTGCCAGAAGTTAGTGAAATTATTTTTTATGGGCAGTTCCATAAGTACCAAAACTATTATATTTTTGAGACATTTTGTATTGAGCATTAAACGATCCGTAGAGGAATTCTAGTGGTAGGTACGTCATCGAAATATTCTTTTATGCAACTTGGAACAGTACCAAAATATCTACATTTATAAATTTTATGCGTTCTAATTGTAAAGACTTGTGGACAAAGGAATTTGATAAAAATGCGCTCATATTTCGTAATTGAGATTATCACCAGCAGGAATTTTTTGATGTTATGACTCATATTTATGTACTTATAAAAAAGTTATTATCTGTAAAAGTTTTGACCCAACTTATCCGTTTAAGTATCATATCTTATATTGGATGTAACAATTTATGAGCTGTCGTCATTTCGTAAATAAGATTAGAACTAAATACATTGACCAGAAATGTACCTTTTAAGGATGGACAAGCACCTACTGTTTAACCAAAATTCAACTTAAGAAACACCCTGTATATTAATATTTTCCAGAAGTACGTTTATCAGTACGTTTCAAGAAAATTGTTTTTGAGGCTTTTGTACAAAATTTCTTCAAGTACTCTCTGTTAGCGACAATACACTTGTCTAATCTCTTCGGCCATCGTTTCCCTCTTCACCTCCTCCTCGGCGTCGGCGCTTTCGCTTCAGGTTCCTCTTCATTTGTGGGATTTAAAAAAAGTTACTCAGAGCCATGTCGAGTAAATAGGGTGGGTGGGGCGAGACAGGCATGCCGTTTCTTTCCACAGAAAAGAAACGGCCGTGTTAGCTGGGGCATTGTCGTGGTGGAAAAACCAATCATCAGACTGCCACATTTTGGGCCTTTTTCGCCTCACACTGTTGCGCAACCTTTTGACAACCTCCAAGTAGAAAACCTGGGTGACGCTCTGACCTTTTGGAACGAATTCCGAGTGCACAATCCTTTTTGCATTGAAAAAACAAATGAGCATTGTCTTCACATTTGACTTTACTTGACGAGCCTTTTTGACGCGGTGCGACGATGGCATTTTCCAGTGGTTTAACTGTTGTTTGGTGTCCGGGTCGTAACCATAGCCCCAAGACTCATCTCCAGTAATAATCTTACACACTAGCGGCAGAAGTTATGCTGCCCATATATTGTACCTTACCTCACCCACATTGTTAATTGTTGTTTAGCTGATTCTATTTTTCTGGAAGAGTGGAAAATTGCTTTAGTTACACCGGTTCCGAAAGTCAAAGCACCCGAGACGTTGAATGATTTTAGACCGATCAGCATCTTACCGACGATCTCAAAAATTCTCGAGCGTGTCGTTAACTCCCAAATTATCACTCATTTAGAACTGAACTCTCTTATCCCAGTTACACAGTCTGGCTTTAGATCATCCCATAGCTGTAGTACGGCCCTCTTACATATCGTTGACGATATTTTATCTTCAATAGATTCTGGAAATAGTTGTGTACTTGCACTGTTAGATTTTAGCAAGGCTTTTGACACCATTAACCATTCGATGCTACTAGCAATATTTAATTATATTGGGTTTGGGGATAGTGCGATAAACTTATTCTCTATTTAAAACACAGATCTCAGATGGTAAAGTGCAATAACAACATATCCGAACCACGAGCCGTTTTTAAAGGTGTACCACAAGGTTCAATATTGGGTCCTACATTGTTCCTAATCTATACAAGTGCTCTGTGTAAACAATTGAAGCATTGTAACATTCATATGTATGCGGACGACACGCAGATTTACTACTCATTTTGTCATACTGAACTACACGAGGCTTTTGAGAAAATCAACTACGACTTGAAAGTTACCCGTGATTTTTGCCAAAAACATGCTTTGCAGCTTAATCCCGCTAAGTGTAATGCCATGTTATTTAGTAATAAGTTAACAAAATCCCAAATGCCCAGAATGCACATTAATAATCTGGCCATCCCATTTGTGGATAAATGTAAGAATCTAGGCGTAATTATTCTTGACACATCCCTTAGGTTTAGACCTCACGTTACAATGTGCATTCAGAGAGCATTTTTGAACTTGAGATTATTGTTTCCCCATAAATTCTATTTGAGTACTTCAATTAAGTTAATGTTATGCAACTCTCTGGTGTTATCACATTTTGCTCACTGTTCCCCGGTTTACTCATCCTGTATTACCCATGATACAACGCATAGTATTCAACGTGTTCAGAATTCTTGTCTCCGCTTTGTATACGGAATCTCTAAATATGACCACATTACTCATAAGTTAAAGGACGCAATTGGCTATCAATGACGAGTAGACGGCATCTCCAAAATGCTGTTTTATTTCATAAAATCATTTCCGATAAGCGGCCACCATACTTATACAATAAGATCAGATTTAGGACTGACATTCACAATTTAAACCTTAGGCATAGAGGGCTACTAACTATACCTCAACATAAAACAGCACTATTTGAGCGGTCATTTAGCTACACCATTGCTGTGATGTACAATGCATTGCCGTCGCCTCTTAAGAGTTTACCAACTACCTATACTATAGTTTTTTGTAGAGATTAATAGCAAAGTGCCAATTTTAGTTACATTATTTATTAAGGGTGTACTAATATAGTAATAATTGAGCATGGTCTTTTGTCAGGAATTTAATTGTCTTTTAAAGTATATAAAAATGTAGGGTGTAAGGTAAAAAAAATTATTTTGCAATTGTTTTTATAATTCCACTACTGTAAAAAATGCTTCATATTTGGTAATTTTTCCCACTAGCAGTGACCTTTATTTGAAACATGCAGTATTTAACTGAAAACATTGAAGGATTTCCCATATTTAAACATCAGCACACTTTGGAACATACCTCACTGCTTATTAGAATTGTAATTGAGCTAATATGTTTAATTAGTTAACACATGCATGACCTTGTAGAGAAATGTTCAACAATGAAAGAGGTGCACAATAGTTTGCTTTTTAATGTGTTTGTTACGCTTAAATTTTTAGTTTTTATAAATTTTTTCTTGTCTCATAGACGAAAAAGAAGCTAGAATAAAGACTTTCAAGGAACGCCAAAATGAGGAAAGGCAGAGGAAGTTGGACGAAATGAAACACCAGGCACTAGCAGCTCAACGATTTAAGGAACAAAAAGAGAACGAACGAAGGCAGCGTATAGACGACTTAAGGCTTAAGGAAGATGAAAGACGGCAGCAGGTGGAAGATAGGAAAAAGGCAATAAACGATGCAGAGAGAGATAGGTTAGAATCAATTTTAAAACGTAACCAAGAAAGGGAAGCCAGGATAGAAGCGAAACGGAAAAATGAACGAAGTTCTATGGTTTTCGCCTTCGGATCTTCGACTCCTCGAATGTTGGGCCCGGCGGATAGCTCCGGTTCGTTTTGGGGACACAGAAGGGCAACCTCCACCCAAAACATAACATATTCACCTGCTCCTCTCACTAGAAGACAGTCAGAAAGGGAACTTGATGGTGGTAGTAAAAAAAGAGCAACATCCGCAGGCGGTTTGGAACGTTCAGGTGAAGGTTAGTAGTGTTTTTATTATTATTTTTGTTGTCGTTGCGTTGCCAGTTTGTGCTCGTATTGTTTTATTCTCAGTTTGCGCATTACTAGCGTTAATGCACAAGTTCAGTTGCGTTCTCCATGTTTTAGAAATTTTTGTTACTTTTGTTTACAGATATGCGAATGTCTACTTCTATGTACGCAGTTTTCCATTGGGATAGCGATCCTGACTCGTTCAAGTCTCCCATTACTAGCTTACCCGCACAACCAATTTCTCTCAACACGACGAGCAGTTTCGGTATAGCATCAGACTTCTTACGTCAATGGATGCATTTATGCTTGCTTATTATGATTTACTGAGTGCCTTTTTGCAACCTGCATTTTTTTAAGTTCTGCTTGGATAGATTTACACTTCGCCCAATGAAAAAGATGCGCGGCAGTCTAGTATCATCAACTTCCAATACAAATTTTGTTGGAACCTAGAAGTCACTGGTGTCATTTTCAATATGGTGAAAAGTGCAGCACTGTATATCATGCTTACAGCATTTAAAATGTTAGAAATGTAAATTTTAAACGGCTGTATCGATTCGATAATGGCATAGTTTTTCAGGTGCTGGGCGTTAAAAAAATTATTTTGAGTTGCATGTATCACAACACCAATAATTTTTTTGTTTCTTGAGTTGTCATATTGTAATTTCCAATGTTATACAGTTTGGTGCAAATGAAAGGAATAATTCGATACAAATTTTTGACGTCGTGATAACGTCTTTAATAACATTTTTAAAAGGAAATGTGGTGGCTTCTAACACATCATTTGAATGATTTATTAAATATCTCTTTAGCCTTTCAGATTAAGTAATTGATCTGTGTAATTGTAAAAAAATTACAACAAATAATCATTAAATACGAGTGATTGTAAATGATCATTTAAAAATATCATTCAAAAATAAAAAAGTCGTTTAAAATTACAAATCGACTGATCCAGGATTTTTTTCGAAAATCACTGATTTACGAAATAATTAATTTATTCCTTTCCTTTGCTGACATGTTGTCAGAGCCAAGTAATCTTCATTAAAAGGCTACGAGATATTTCAAAACCTTCAAAGGTGCTACCTATGATAAATTTTTGGTGGGGAATCCCAAATTTCTATTTTGAGGAATATTTTCCAGATAACTTTTCACCACACGCCAGAGATCTTTGCGGTCCATCTTGAATGTTTTATTTTCCTAAAATGGTTTTGTAAATACAACATGTGTTTTTGCAGCATTTAGAATTACTATTATCGAAACACTAACAAATAGTGCAACATGTGATACACTTGAAAGTATGATAACAAATGGCATGGAAATAATATTTGGGTATATATTGATAAAGTCTTACAGAAATTGCCTGCATTAAATCTTTTAATGTGCATGTGTGTGCTGTGCATCTTATTTTGTATAACAATATTGTTGGACGTCCATGGATTTAAAAATATAGTTCAATATGTCATTAGATATATTGCATGGTAAAAAATGTGATACAGGTATATTCATAATTATTAATTGATTGTAAAAAGTCCTATTTTGGTTGTCTCCAATAATGAAAATTTTAAGAACGTCACAAACCGGTTATCTGCATTCCCAAGAAAGGTAAAAGTATGTTTGGTCAATTAAGTAGTACATAAAGTTACATAACAACCGGTTTAAATTGTTGAAGAAGGCACGCAAATTACTTGAGACATTTTATTGAAGAATTGTATGTTTATGTGGGTACTTGTAAATAGTGTATAATCTTGTTTTTCACAAGGCTTAGAATAAATAATTTTTTTAGCTACCACACCACAGCATCCGGCGGGCTGTATAAGTGGATACGTGGGCCGTCGACGCACAGATCTGATGCCCACAATACCAGCGAAAGATTCTCCGACCACACTACCCCGTAAACCTTTCATGCGTTCACCAGGTAGGGCTTACTCGATGTCTCGTCTTGACCAATTGTCTAAGCCACGAAAAAGGCCAACTGATTTACCCACCCTAACGGAAATGGCTATCCATTCTCCCTTCAAATCCCTATATCATCCACAACAATCCTCAGTTAGTCGTAGTATGAGTCACCTAGCTTTTAATAAGCCGGCGCAGCCGGTACAGTCCCAAAAACCTTTACGGAAAGCTGACAGCCGCAGTATGCACCAACTTACAACCGCTGTATCTTTACCACCGCCGCGCACAACACGCGCAACCGAACTTAGACAGAAGAAATTAGCATCCACCAACTGTTTTTCTCAGGTTGAAGGTAACAGAATTATTTATATTAAAGGAAAATTAACTTCCGCATACTGGTTTTGGTCAACTTTGCTTGGTAAGGGAGGCACTATTTTAGCTAGAATTTGTGCACTCAAATCGGTTATTCTTCTATGCTTTGTAAATAAATCTGGTCTTTACTGCAAGAATAAATAAATGAAAATAACCTTTAACTACTTAAGAACTCATAAGTACCATAGAAACACCTGATAGTATTTTGTGGTACAGATTTGTTGGTGGTGATAGAAGTTTACAAGACTTCTGCAGCCAGTAATAACTGTTATCTTACATTTATGTATATTTTATTTGTTACTTATTTCTAACAATATTAATCATTAACAAATAAAATACATAAATTAATGGAACGCCTTTTTTTGTTTGCTTTTGTAAATAATTTGTCATTGGTAGGGATGTGTTTTTTTAGGGATAGTCAAACTATTATGAAAGCGTTCCATATCTTTTTTGCACCTTTATTAGTACATTTTTAAAAAAAGTTAAATTGCTTTTATTATCGTATCGCACATAAAAGTATGGCGTCTTTTTAATTCACGGTGTTGGATCAGTTTCCTTTCCTTGCTCCTATATCTCCGTATGTTTCCTGCTGGTTAATAAGATCAAACTAGAACTAAAACGAATACAGATTATTAATTGAGATATTTCAAAACAGCACCATCGCGGCCCAGCAGTTCTCTAAGTCAGCAAAGTACAAGTAGTGTTACCAGCTCAGTTGTAATGAGAAGTCGTCCCTCGACAGCACCCAGAGGTCCCCGACCTGCAAGTATTGCTGTTACTGGTATAACAACCGATCTAAAAAATCTAGCCGATATAAAAAAGCCAGATAACAAACCTCCGCTGCCGAAAGTTAGAAAATCAAGTTTAGTCAAATCGCAGGAGAAAATAGGGAAGAAGAAATCTCTTTCGTCGCCCACGGAAGGTTCGCCTAAAACGTTACTTTCACCGACCAGCACTGCGACGGCGACAATTACCACAGATGTTGATATTACGAACACTCTAATTAATGTAGATAGAAATACCACGAATTTTGTATCTGAAACAATTTCTAATGAAGACAAATTGATTTTAAATGGTCAGGAATGCAGTATTGAGTCGGATAACAAACAGACTACCCCACAGTAAGTATTGGGAGATGTGCGCGAGGTGGGCCTCAATTGCATTGGCAAGGTCTGACTGTCAAGTGGATTTCTTTTTGTTTGCCTGTTTATCCTTCATTGTTTGTGTATCAAATTTAATTTGATATGGGATTTAATTTGATATGGGTGTAGGTTACCGTGGAAGGGGACTACGCCAAAATAGATGTGGCTGCTCTAGCAATTATATCTATTTTCCCCTTTAACATTTTAACTTACCTCACAGATAGGATTGCGAGGACCTATAGTCTTTGGAGCAGATAGACAGTTGCTTCTGGATTTCAATAAGAGATTGGACAGGGGCCACACGTACATAGACCTCAAATTCGGGCCCTTTGTACTACCTCCCTCAATAGAGTTGTCATACCCCTCAAAAACGCACCACGCTACGAGATGGTACCTTGAAGGCTTCTCTCGCATGGCGACAATCTAACATCATGTTATTAGGTTGTTTACAGTTGCAACTGTAAGGGGAAGAACCAATTCTGGACCATAAGCTTTCGACCTCAAGGGTGTTTCTGATTGCTACTTACTCTAGTGCACAGTGACATTCGAAAACCTTTTTTCTATTTTTGTAGTAGTATTTGGGCGTATCTTGTCTCTAAAAAGCACTTTACTGGAATGTTTTTTGAAAATTGCAAAGGTACCCAAGATTTTTTGAAACTTGTCAATATGTCTCAATATAGTTTTCAACCAAGCATGGCTGATACCTACAAGCTCAAAATTCAATTCGAAGGGGTAATCATAACAAGGCTGAGGGTGTTAGGTACCTATATTGTACCACCTGTTTTGTGTGGGTGTGGTTGTAACTTTTATATCGCTAATCCATATTATTTAAAAGCCTGTGTTATGACTTATGATTGTTATTAAGGGCTATTTCAAAGTGTTAGTACTTGTATGAGATCTTGCCAATTTTGCTTCACAGGCAAACCATGTAACACATTCTCTTGTTTTTCATAACTTTTTCTTTTAATTGATTAAATTTGCAGGCTTATACAAATTGATCAAATTGGCCCCACGGATGTAACGGATCAATTAGAAACGAAATTTAACGAAATGAGTATTTGTGATGACGAAAAAGGTGATGCCGTAAAGGATATGATATATCAAATTATCGATAAGGTCGAAGAAAATATTTTTGGAAAATCTGAACCGTCGGCTGTACCTGATAATCAGCTGGACATGTTCGAGAGTCAAAGTGGCGACATCGATATGACGGCCTCTGTGAATTCCAAACCGCGAATTACAACTGAGGAGGAAGCAAAAGCCGCTTTAGCCGAAAGGAGACGTTTGGCGCGCGAGGAAGCCGAACGGCAAGCCGAGATGGAACGACTTCGGATAGAGGAGGAGATTAGAATTGAGTACGAGAGGCAGCAAAGAGAAGAGGAACTACAGAGACAGTTAATTGAACAGCAGAGAGCTGCGGAAGAAGAACGTCTGAGAGAGGTAACTTCAATATAATGCTCTTCGTCTTTTAAAGAAGTTAAATTTTTGCGAATTGGGAAACCCTATCAATTTCAGTAATTTAGCTAGAACTTTCAAACTTACAGGGTGAGTAATGAAAAGGTCAGCAGTTTCTTTAGCAATTATATTTTTTCCATCAATCAAACTGGAAAATGTGAAAGCCCTGTCTCAATTATTAAAATTTATTGAACGAATTGACAAAAAAACGTCACATTTTCTCAATTTGCAAAAATTTAAGAAAATATAGTTGTCTCTACCAAAATGCCCCACCTAAGATTTTTTTAAAGCATAATTCACAGGCGATTTTACTACACTATTTGTATTCGGCAATCTTTTTACTCATTTTTATTGTTTAGGCAATAAAAGAGGCACAGCGTCGTGAAGAGGAGGAAAAACTAAGAAAAGAAGAAGAATTACGATTGAAGGTGTTGAAGGATGAAGCGGAGCGTAAAGCACGGGAAGAGGCCGAACGGCAGAAAGCCGAATTGCAGGAGCGATTGAAAAATGAAGAGAAGGAAAGAGAGGCGAGACGTAAGCGAGTCGAAGCAATCATGCTCCGTACCAGGGGGAAAAACAACTCTGGCGTGTCACAAGTATGAAATAAACGTCACTGTGCACAATGAATAATGCCATTTGTTTTAGACTGAAGAGAAGAACGCCGAAAATAAATTTGAAGTTAAAGTCAACGGATCTAAAACTGATAGTGCAGAAAATGGTCATAAAAATGGAAAAGATATAGAAACAGTAGATAATATGTGAGTTTTACTTTTACGCAGTATTGTTTTATAAATTATTTCAGTATTCCAGTTGACACTTTAAAAAATGCTAACACAGTTAATGTGACCACACTTAGTACGGATGACACGATTAATTCAAATGACGCTTGGCAGCGTAACTCTCAAACAGGTAACTATTACAACGAATAGCGAATTTTAATTAAGTACCTCACATTATAATCTGTTACATTTCAGTTTCGCAAAATTAGTAAAAAATTGTTCACTAAACCACTTGTAGTATCGTTTGAATTTGAATACAAAGTGGTTGATTATAAAAATAACTGCTTTCCAGCAGTAGCGAAGTTTTATTATTTATTAAGAATGTATGTATAATTGCTGTATAGTTTGTGAATTGTATTTTACGAAATGTTTAGTCAAATTTGAATAGGTAGTTTGTTTATAAAGCATCTAATCAAAGTTTAACAATTAATTGTGATAGTTACTAAGTGACACTTTATACAATAAATAAATTGCGTGATTTAACTCGTGTCCACTAGCCACATTTTCACATGCCCCACTTATAAAAAAATAAAGGAAGCTTTATACTTGTTCACTCTTAAGAATATCCAAAGAATTTCACCAAAAATAAATTTGAATTTAGGATCTTACTGTTTTCAGGTTTACATGGAACTTGAAGGATGAGCCCAAGGTCTATAACTACTGTATCAATGACCTAACAAATTTTAAAAAGCTGGCCCCACATATACAGGGCTGCTTGTTTTTGAGTTGCACTCATTTAAACGGGAAAAATGTGCCAATTTTGAGGGGGGGGGGCGCGAGATGAATCTCATTAAAATAATAAAATACTATTCAGTTTTTTGTTAAAACAAATTTCTTGCATATTTTTTCACTGATACTGTACTTCAAAAGATTCCAAGACCTGTATACACATGTAAGCCACCCTATATAGTACTACTATTTTAAAGAGAGTCCTGATAAACCCAAATATATTCTGTAATTATTTACATACCCTGTTGCTGTTGAGTGTTGCCACCATTCCTCAAACTCTGAAATGTTACACTCATTTTTAGATTGAAAAACAACGACAACATCTTATCTAAGAAATAGGGTAATTTAAATGCTGTATCCAGCAGACTTTGAGATGCGAGTCTGACTATTCACCAAAAATCGCATGAAACTGGTCTGTAAATCTTTGGGACTATTGAAAGTTTAATTAATTATTGATAGGTACCATAATGATGGTTACAAAATTGTACTGGCCATAACTACATAAGAATGGCACCAACTGTATGTCGGAAAGTAATAAATAGAGGTTTCTTTAAAATAAAAATTACCAGGGGAAAATGCTGGAAATTGTTTTTGTTTTTGTATGATTACGAAATTACGGTGTGGAATTGGGCGCATTGCAAAGTGCCACACCTAGAAATTTCGGAAGATGTATATTATGTACTGTAATGCAATACACATTTGTCCTATTGTAATTATTTGTTTTGCCATAAAATTTGCAACCACTCACAATAATAATGGTTTTAATTTTTAGATTTGTTAATGTGAGCTCTCACGAGTCCAAACTAGGTGCTTGAAGAAAAGATCACAACTTTCTTATACATAAATACTGGTTTAGAGTTGCCGTTATCATCTTCCTCAGCTTTCAAACTATATGATTTACTGCGTTTGTGCAATAAAATGCGAACTGGTTACTTTCGGTAATACGATTTATATAAATTTTAAGTATTTTTGTTTTTAGCGAGCAAGTTTTTTTATAATCCTGATCAAGTATTTGAATAAAGATTTGAATCGAAAAGTAAAGTGTGTGTTTCTATTTTTATAATTATTTGTTAAATTCTTATTTATTTATAAATATTATGTTGCATAGAAGTGGAAACATGCAGTATTACTAGATGGCATATTGAAAATATTTTATGATTTTTAATGTGTGCTTAGATCTATAAATGAGAACCTTGCTGTTTGAGGCTAGATAGTTTTTAATTCGATTGTTTGATAAATAATTGTTGACGAATTTTGTGAGATTGAAGTTGATCAGGATTCTGTGTGTATTCTTCCAGTGAATAGGACTTGGTCTTTACTAGTCATCTTGATGTACATTGAATCGTTTTGTAATATATTACGAATCGGGAGTGCTGATCTTGGGTTATCACCAAAAGTTCAACACCCTGTATCTCGAGCACAGTTAGTTTTAGTTGTATTGTACTGTATTGCATTTGTAGTCAGGGTACCTTAAATGCCTTACTATCGTTTTTATAGTTTTTTATGTTATTTTGTCAAATGTTAAAAAATGATACCTTTGTGTTTACTAAACTTTGTTATAAATCAATGAAATTTTCAAACATATACCTCTATTGTTTATTAATTCTCTAAATATGTAAGAACGTTGTTTATTTTCTAGGTTTTCGTAATGTTTCAACGATGGTTACTTTGGACATATCACAAATATCTATCATGCGCTACCGTAGTCAATTTTAGAGTGGATATGTCGAAAGTATTAATCGCAAACGTCACTTGCTACACAAAATAATTAACAAAAAGTATATCTAATCATATGTTACAATACTGTCTAAGACTATTGCTAATAAATTATTGGTGTAAACAATTTTTTGAAGTATATCCTATCACATGATTATATACTGATTACTCCCCGTTGGTTCGTTTTAACCCTTAGTGGAATAATTATGTGTGGTGTAAATATTTGTCCTTAATTCTGAATAATTATTTCAATTTATTTGCGAACATTCTCGGGAGTATTCAGAATAAAAAAAACTTGTAAAAATGGTAGATTGTTAAACAGCGCTTAATAAAGTTTAATAAATTTGTCTTAACAAATTCACATTAATATTGTTCCTATTCTTTTAGTAAATTACTAACCTGATTTGGCCATGTGCAATTGCACTGACGCATGAACATTTACCAATCTTTGCCCATTTCCAAGCACTATTTTCTTTACCCGCTTAGTGTTACAACCTGAGTTAAGGTGGCCGCTTTATAGTTACTTTACATTACTTTTGGTGCTTGCCCAAAATAAGCTGTAATGCGTATGCCCGAGTTAACGCTATATGTATACAAGCATTGTATATATACCATACAATGATGCAAGTCTTCTACAGTAATGCCATTTATACGTACGCCCGAGTTAACTCATAGTCGCGCTTGTATACGTCTACTAGCGGCTTGTGTTTAGACTGAATGAGTCTGTTACTTGCACAATTCAGTCCATGTTTATCCTCTTTAAATGTCTTTGTAATCACAGCTCCTTTGCAGTTTATTTGTGTGTCCAAAATGGCGCCCGAGTTACCGCATGTGCTAAAATAATTCTTTTTTTGTAATAGTTAAATTTTTTTATCAACAATGTTAATTTTTTTGAACATATATGTTAATAAACACAATTCAATATAAAAAAATATGATTATTTTTTACAGAAACTCGCCAAAAAATATAACCCTTAAGCAATTAAACATTTAATTAGTTTAAATGTAAGTGGTATAAGATAGTGATACTGGGAGTGCAAGCCTGTGAATTCCGCTTAATAGGCACTCTTAGAAGTCCGAAATTTGCATTTCTTCTTTAATTTTTTTTTCTGGCTGAAATTAACTACTTTGTGGGAAAGCAAAAAATTACTTGACACGTCAGGTTTCAAATTAGCCAGGTACACAGAAGTCACGCCACACGAAAATTAGATTACCATAATAGTCACGACAGAGTTAATTTTTGACTCTAGTTTTCAGGGCCGTTCGGTACATTTTTTCAATATGGTACACGTTTCTGAGACTATTAACGAAATACTTATAGCAAAGAGTAACTCTTTGCTTATAGCTACACCAGTATATGGTTACTAATTAGATTGTTTTGACACAAATAATGTAATCATTCAAAGGTTTCATTATGAAAAAGGGTAACATAGGTTTATATTCGATTCGTTTTGAGCCGAAAGTATTCACTTGAGATTACAGCAACAGGTTTCTAGCATTTTGTTGTCTATATCCTTGATTTCAAAGATGTTATATAATTACTGGAATAATAATAACAATATTTATTTGGTTTATGACGTATTTATACATAATGAAATTTTAATGGGCTTATTACTTTTGTATTCAGAGCTGAGCTTTCTGAGCTTCGTACGAAATATTAAAAGTGGAGTTTCGCTATGGGTTTCCAGAAGCAAATTAACGCTCATAGGTGCGTAGGTGGCTCTTCAGTGGCGTAACTTCATTTTAGAGGCCCGTCTTCAAAAATATTTGAGGGCCCTTTCCTTATATCAAAGAGTAAGTTACTCTTTGCTTATATCAACAATTTTTAAACAATGTTAATCTGTATATGTAGAAAATAGTGTCTTGATTTAGCTTTACTGATTTTGCATTTTGTAATTCATTGGTTCACAGGTCCATTGTAACATTTTGCCTCACTGCGTTCAGTCAGAATCCAGTTGATTTTGTTCGAACTTTAATTGTCAAGCTTTGTGTGGTATTTGTGCCATAACAAAAGGTAATAATGTACTTAATTTTATTTTATTTATAACTCGTTTTATTGTGACTATTTGTAACTAGGGATGCGTAACCCCTCTGCATTTGTTTGTTATTTAATTGTTTCACTTAAAATATTATCCTTATTTTGATTTGTTTAATATTGGCCAGTTCCTTCAATGTTTAAACTCGTTTAGTTTGATTAGCGATTTCAATTCTTTGTGTATGAATCTGCCCTTTTTTAAATGTCTGTTACTCCGTGCAGAGGTAAATGCTGGAGTGTTAAAATTACTTAGCGGCATTCATCTCGAAATACAACTTCAGTCTAAGGTTACTATATCCAGGACCTCCAGATACCTTCTGGATTGGAGAAGGTCCCGCTAATTAACAAAGTATTGCATGTACCTTATGTAAGAGACTTCGGAATGCTATTTATTTACCCTCCGTGAACCATGATTCAGAATTTTCTTCGGACTGTAACTATAAACTGTAAAAGTAAGCGTGTGCATGGCCCTTCGTTTCTTTTTCCATTTTTTTCAGAATTTTGTATACACGAATTAAATTTTTGTACATTTTTTTCCGGGGCCCCTTTTAAGTCGGGGCCCGTCCTCATTGCGTACCTTTGAGGCATTGTAGTTACGCCACTGTGGCTCTTTATATTTATTTGGTACTACTCGGGAGAGATTTATAGTATGCATTGTGGATACCATCTCGCCCAGGGCTTTTATTGAGTTTAAGATGATTGATGCTCCAAATTAATATTTGGATATAGGGCGATGTTTATTCATCGGGTAGTATAAAAGATCTGGGCACCATTTGTGTGTTTGGATATGACAATTTTGGTTTTTATTTGTTTTAGTTTAATGCTAACTGGTTCTCCCAAACGCGTATGAGTTTTGAACTTTTTCTATATTTTCCTAAATGTTACTGCTTCACTGAAAAGCAACTCCGTTTAGTCATTTATGTTTTTTCACAAGAGAGTTTCTACAAGTTGCGTCATACCAAATACTTATAGTTTACATATGAGGTGAAAATAATTTGGTTTCGTATTTGTGATGTTTCCTTTAGAGCTTGCTCGATGTTTTTGCTGACAGCTTCTGGTTTTCACTGTAGGTATATTCTATTTGACATTTTGACATTCCATTTTTGTGCTAATTTCCAGCTAGTCATCAACGTCCTATTATTGTTTATTTATTTAGTTTGTATAATTGAAGTTATACCTTTTCAGGTACTTTGCGTTCGACCATTAAGTAAAATCATTCCATAATATGCATCCATTATTTCCATCACTTTTCGTCCCTCTTTTATTGATCGCACTAGGGCTCCGTTCAAGACCTATATTTGGATTTGATTTTGAGTTTTCTGCCCTTGCTTCTTACCCACTCTTACAAGAAAGTCGCTATCAGCTATTATTATGGTTTCAGGGATACCCTTCCTTTAGAATTCGTATCGTTTCATCCAAACTATTTTGTACAAAAATCAGCGGCGGTTGGCTTCCTGTAATTCGCCATTATAATAAAGTCACCTTTCCCTTACTTAACTTGTGCAATCGGCCATAAGTTAGTTTTTTGAATGAATTTAAGGAAATAAATTCCCACTGTGGGTTCGGGGGTAGAATTGGCCCACTCCCACCCTGGAGATCGTAAAAGGCTACCAATGGGTATGGGTGGCTCAGAGTTTAATGGCCCCACCCATATAATCTTTCAAAATAATTATATTATTATAGGTATTTATATTATATTAATTTTAGAGGCAAGGCTATAAGTCTTTGCTATATTTTTGGGTAGTTTTGTTCATTGTGTCTTTTAATACAATCAAAGTAGCGTGTATGTTTTTCTCATTTCTGCTGGATCTTCAGGCTATAATCCTTCCGAAATGTTCATTTCTTTGTTGATGTAGGAGAAGTCAAAACTTTCTATTGATTTTAAAGGCAAGAGTATGGTCTTTACGTACTGTATTTTTGTTCATTGCGTCTCTTGATATAATTAAAGTAGCGTATGCTTTTCTCAATTTTGATGGATCTTCGGGTTACAATCCGTCAGAAATGTTCATTTCTCCATTGATATAAAAGTCGACTTTCTGTTAATTTTATAGTCAAGGTTTCCGTATTCTTGGGTAGTTTGTCCATTGTCTCTCTTAATTTAATCAAAGTAGCTTATGTTTTTCTCAACAACCCTTAGATCATATATATTGATGACATCGTATGATCTAAGCAACAACCACCTTGCGTAACCTACAAAGCAGAGAAAATGGGGGATACGTGGATAAGGTAGTTAATACAATAAGATACAGAGGTTTACAGGGCTGGGGAAAATACCTCGAAAATATATGCATAACAAAATACTCCATAAAATGTAATTGAAATACGCAATATAAAACTTTAAAAAAAGGTATTTGAAATACCTACAATGGTTCGTGATGGTGTCGAGGCTTGCACCAAGGAAGGAATTTTTTCTGCGTTTATTGCTAAAAAAGTTATTGTAAAAAAACCAACAAACCGTTTTTTTACATGTTCCATAATTTTATACACTTTTGCCGTTTATTAACGATCCTAGAGATCGTTTATAATTTTGTATTGCTGTCTGTCATCTGTTTGTTGGTCTGTCCGTCTGTTCCTTTGTCTGTCTGACCCTCTATTTGTCCTCTCTGTTATTACTCTAAGATTCCAAAATCCAATGTTTAATTTATTGCTCTTTATATTATCGTTTGTTATAGTTTCTGGTTATTTCTAGAGTGAGTTTGTGGTCCATTATCGATACTCAACTTTCAACAGCAAAATTGTCATTATCAGCAAACAGTTGTTCGCCGATGATGACAGCTTTGCTTTTGAAACGCGTTCGATGTTTAATATATTATTGTGGTTTGTTGTTTTTGTAACCTGCCATGCGATACGGTTCTGCTTTCACTAGTCACGAGCCGCTACTGGTATGTCTAGTAATGCACACAAAGGACAATCGATTTGCGTCCTAGAAATAGAAGTAAACTTGTCAAAATTAGTAAAAGTGAAGTTTAGAACCAATCAAAATGGAAGATAATTATCTACATCTACATTGTAATTAGTTTTGTCACAATAAAGTTTTGTTATTAAACATTTGGATTATAATATCAAGGAATACGTATCTTAACCTATTTAAATAGTAAATTAGACTTGTAAAAATAGAATACATGTGTGAGGTATTGGAAATTGTTTATAACTGTACTAAATATCAATTCTTTTGTAAATTTAGAAATGAACTGAGTGTGTGACAAATATTTACATTATGGGTAATTGTTTAAAACGATCAACAACAGATGACATCTCCCTCCTGCGGGGCAGCGATAGCGTAAGGGAATCGTCTTCTGATCAGTTGGGACCTTCTCCATATCAGGTATTTAGGATACCGTTTCACTTAAACGATTCTGGCATCGTTAATTTATAGGAAACATTACCCATTCAGACATCGGCTCCGGTATATCACCCGTCCCCTAGCGTAACACGGCCAGTTGCGCTCTTAACGGAAGAAGAGCAAGTGAAGATTGCCAAGCGCATAGGACTTATTCAACATTTGCCTACCGGAACGTATGACGGATGTAAAAAGGCGCGCGAGTGTGTTATTTGTATGGTAGAGTTCTTAGTGGGTGACGCGGTTCGTTATTTACCTTGTATGCATACTTACCATATGGCATGTATTGACGATTGGCTGATGCGCAGTCTGACATGTCCCAGCTGTATGGAACCAGTTGATGCCGCCTTGTTGACGAGTTACGAGACCAATTAATGGCTAGTGCCTTGCAATTGTAGTGAAACACTGTGATTTGTACTGTCTTCATGTCTGGGTGTGAATGTTTTCTGTGATATTAGCGCATCTGTATCAGAAATTGGGGAATTTCTTAATAGTTTTGTTAGCATTCATATTCTATAGTTAGTTGTCGACGAATTTTAGTAAATGTCGTTTATTAACAGCTAAAAATAGTGCAACACTGCTACAGTTTTCTTCTTTGGCAGAAAATATAATTTCCAAAAATGAATGTTTCCCGGTAAATACATGTTTTTGGCAACTGGACAAACACTCAACCATGACCTTTAAGATTTTCTTTTCTACAAAATGATGACTAACTAAGAAGGTTTGTGCATTCAACTCTAAGGGATATCGATGAGATAATCACTTATAAATTACTACAATCATCAGGTAAAAGGCTTTGAAGGCTCTCTAGTACTTAAAGAGCTTGAAATTACAAAGCTTCAAGCTCATTCTATATGTAAGGATTTGGATTTTCTCGGTAAACCCTTTCCTATAAATTTGAAACTTTGGATTTATATTTAATTTGAATCTTCAACTGTTTTAACTCTGTAATGTATTTAACAAAGACTTCAATTCCAAGAAAGTGGGCTTGACATTAAAACTAAGGGTAGGCCTAGGTGGACGCATGATAATTTAAAAAATGAAATAACAAAAACCACAGTAAAACTTTAATAAAACGAAACATCAAAGCAAGACCAATATCAGTTGTTCGCTGATGAGGACTCCTTTTATTAAAGTTTTGTTTGGTGCGTAACACAATGAAGTTGAGGTAACGCTTATGTGCTCGATTTTCCGTCGTCTGTCTGTCTGTTCCATCAAGATCTCGGCCCCTGGGCCACTTGGAGAGTTCGGGTTTTCGCTAATTGGTCTATATTTGCCCGTTACTCATCATTTACAGTTGTGTTATGCGGCAACACCCACAAGTGGGGTTTGAAACATTTTTATTTCCGTGTTTGTTAATTTAACGACCACGAGGTACAGTATTTTTGTGATAGTATTATTTTATTTAGAGAAACATAATATCCGTAAATTTTCCTATATTGCACACAATAGAGAACTGATACATCGGAACATTTTTAGAACTTCTGGGTTAGTTCTCAAACGCGAAACATTTTTTTAATTTTATGTTTATTAGGCGTTTTGGAATAATTGTTATAAAATTGAAAAGAGTATACCATAATCCCCAGTGAAAGTGTTAGCCAAGGTGTCATCCATCCGAGTTTCCATCCAATGCTTGCTACTAAAGAAGAATGTTAGCTTGTGGCACGTAGCTCTCAAACGAAGGACCCTTGGTGTCTTTGGAAAAAAAGTTTGTTTCGGTTCCCTCTACCGCTCCTCTGTTCTTAAATAATAATAATAATTGTATTGCCCAACAGTTAACAACTAATCACTGTGTTCATGTCTTTTAATATATAAATCTCGGACCTTTTTTCCAGATGCAAATGGAACTAGCAACACAAATTTGAGCGTTTAAAAAATGCATCTAAATGAAAAATAAGATTTGGATTTTTGAAAATTTGAATTGCGAGCCATTTGTTAGGAAGTTTTCGAAAAACCTATCTAGAACTAATGCGGGTGCAAATAGGACTATTAAGAAACGCTTCGGCGGTACATATACTAAAGTGTAGTTCCCGATTTTTGATAGTGATATACTAACTTCACAGGCACGTGTGAATGGTGTGTAACTGTGAAGTTTCCTAATCGAGAATAGCAAATATTCAACATTAGTTACTTTTATTCTGCATTAATAAGGCAAGGTGTAAGTTAGGTGTGATGCAGAATATGCGATTTCATCCAAATAGCTTCGCTCTGATTTATGTGATAATAGCGTTACTGTTGGCTCATTGTAGAGTTGCTTACGACGACCGATAACAGTATTACTGCCGCTCTAAATTAGTATACCGATGAGGTTGCTTTTATTTTAGTTCAGCTGCAGTAATGCGAGGGCTATTATTGTACACTGTGATAACCTTTCGACTGAAGTTCTTTTAATAAAACGTTTGTTTGGGAATACCTTAACTTATTACACATCTTGCATCACACTTGAATTATTTTGCAGATCATCTCTATTGTACTTTAGGTAAACAATTTATTATTTTTTGACTTCCGAAAATGTACAATATTCTTATAAGTGACGTCCAGTTGGTATGGTTTTTACAATTATATAGAATGTAAATAATTTAGTTAGTTGTGAAAATAGATGAACCGTTAATTGCAATAATAGAAAAGGGATTCAATCTTAGGTTGTAGATAACGTGATAAAGAGTGAAAGTGGGTGCAGTTTAATGTACATTAAATATATTTAGCTAAATAATAACTAATTTTTATTGACCATGGGGTAGTGGAAAGTGTTAGTTGTGTCTGTTAATTTATGTTTAGGGACTGTGTATTCATTTGTAGGATGAGATAATTATGTAGGTATCTGACTGCTGTTTGTGATATCTGTTACAAGTCAGTTGGTAGACGAAAAATGGGCACGTTTAATTTTAAATACCTACCTGATAAAATTATATTGGTTTTTGTATTTTTACAAGTTGTGTGTTTCATATGTAAGGTATAAAATGGAACGATCTTCATTTTTGCACCACTCCAATATTAGTAAATTACAGAAAAATTGTGATAAAATATGTGTTTGCTTTTATAAACATAAGTAAGATATGAAATAAATATCTGTAGGTTTAATAAATTTGATTTTATATCTGAGAAGAGGCAGGTCTTTTGTACTTAATCGGCTTTGATAAGAATATTCATTCGTTCAATGATGTCACTTGCCTTATATCATAACATTTAAAATTTTAGGCTTCATGAGCTTAGAGATATGGGCTTACTAAAGTAGAATTACCGTAAAATATGACGTGTCCGATCGTTATTTGGATATTTTGTGTTGACGACCAAAATATAAATAAAGTAATGCTCTCCATCGAGAACCTCAATCAGCACCGCTTTAGATCTCGTGAGCACATAATGTGAGCTCGTTTAGGTTAGTAGGAAACCAAAATTTATTGTGGAGGCAGCCGGCCATGCTTCTTTGGTGTGTGTAGGAAGGGAAATCGTTTATAGACACAAAGCGTCTTGTATCTCTCGGCGCATAAGGTAGTGTGAGATTTGCCCTCTGATCTAGGTTGGCATACCCACTATAAAAGGCCTAGCATGTTTACTGGCTGACACTGTTTTCCATTTAATTGTGTACCAGTAGAGGCAGTATATTTTGTATCATCCTCCTAATTTTCTTTCGTCCCGTTCTGTCTATTATTACCTCCTTTTTACAGATATATACGTTCTCTACCTAGTATTTTCCATGTCCTGCCATTTTTCAGCGCTAGCTCCATTACCGGTGGGCTCTCCCCTATTTTCCCCATGGCTTCTTTTCACTGTCTGGTCCACTTACTACATTGAATGAAAGCATGATGTTCTACGTCGTAATTTTTTTTGCAATACAAGCATTTCGACCTATCCTTTTTCTTTATTGTGTGCAAGTACACCATGACCGCTCAAAAATTGTCCAACAAAATAATTTGCATTCCCTGTTTTATTTCCCACCCGCTTGTCAATTGTCTGAATTAGGTAATCTTTTTGTTCACCCTGCCTTTACTGTGTAAGGTCATTCCCTCTGCCACTGTTCCCTGGTTTGTTGTCTACCTCTTCTCGCGCTTCCTTGTTGTTATCGTATCGTATTATGTTCCTTTCTTAGCTCATATACATAAGAGAAGAAGTATATATATGTCTTAGCTTGGCCAGTGGCTCCGCTTTGTTTATGATACACAGAACTTCATTTGACACCGTTCTATATACAGTTTTTTGATTTGTATGCTCTGTATCTATCTTTGTGTGGCCCTTTTATTATGTTTCTATACTGTTGACCGACTATAATGCAGCCCGTGCAGTGACTTTTTTTCATAATTATGCGTCTGCTGAGCCGTGTTCGTTGCCTCTCTTGTGTCCTCCCGTCAATAATTGTGAATCTATGGTCATTCCCAGCCCCCAGGTATTTTATGTTTCTCTGAACGTTGACCTCTTTTCCTAATTGGTGGAGTATATCCCCACCCTTTTTAGGTGCCGGTGCCTATTAATATTGCGGCCGTAGTCTTTATTGCCGCTGCTTAGCTTGCTTGCCTTCATCCAATGTCCAATCATCGACTGCATGCAAAGTGACATTTACTATCTCGACACTTCTTGAGCGGGCCTATATGATGACCACGTCGCATTGGCATTAACACACGATTTTTATATCCTTTTGAACGGATATCCTCATGACATCGTCATATAATGTTTCACAGGGTCGGTACAAAGACTGACCAATGGCCATTTATATTTATAATCAAAACTGCTGTTATATCTAATTGTACCTACTATATATTTTGTTGCATTTATGCAGTACGTAGATTTATACATACATGCGACAAATATAATCGGTTATTAGCGTTTCGTGTTGCCAATTTAAATGGATTTCTCTTTACACCCGTATGTTTTGAAATATTTAATGCACAACTCGTATAGTAGGTACACTAAATAGAAGCGTTTGCAGAAATTGCATTGAGGGTCTTCGTTGATTGTTAATGGCTTGAAAATTTGAATTTCAATTCGTAAAATAATGGACATTTGTGTATTTGATCTTAGCATTAAATATCGAAATCAGATTCAACGCCCAACGGTGATAGTATGTACTCTGATATGTAGGCAACCCGGCATACTCGACGTTTAGAAAAACGGCCATGATTTTTATATATATATATAGAACATGACGATCTCGGACCGGAGCACCCAGGAAAACATAATCCTCAAGAAGGTTATTACCCTCTCTGCTCTCACATTGCTACTTTGTTATGGTGTTAAAGTCGGTTTCTGTAATTTCCTGCAGTTGGTGCCCACACAACTAGTTTATTGAACTTACGTTAGATGTCAGAACGATACTTTATTGGCAGAACGCCTAACAAAAAAAAAACGTACTGCTCAAGGTGGATTCATTCTCCTTGGTACTGCTGTTATCTAATTTTGCTATTGTTAACGTATTTTCCTCAAAGTGAAAAATCACTATTGGCTGCACTTTGTCGTCCGTCCGCCCGTCCGTCACCCGTACTCCTTCTACACCACTGAACCGATTTGGGCGATAGACGGCTCATTTGAAAGGACTTGGTTCAAGGATTCCGTGCATACCGATGTTTTTTGGTTTTGCGCATGCGCAGTGTCAAAAAATTGGTTTAAGGCATGTGCAGTGCTAACTTTTTTATTTATGAAGATATTTAAATGAAACTGTGTATGTGAACAAATTAACGACGTTTTCAAAATGTTGTTTTGCGCATGCGCAATGCCAACTTTCTATGAAATTTTATACACAGGCGCTTGGAATAAAGACAAATCTAACACCAATTGCAAAATTTGCTTTTGCGCATGCGCAATGCCAACTTCCTTATTTACGGAAGCATTTAAATGAAGTTTAATACATAGATACTTGGAATACGAGCAAATCTAACACGAGTTAAATTTTGGCTTTGCGCATGCGCATAGGCAAATTTCTTATTTATGAAAGCAGTTAAATATCATATGTAGGCACTTTCATTAAACTAAAACTAATACCGGTTTCAAAAGTACTGTTTACGCATGCTGTATGTTTTATTTATGAAGGTATTCAATGAAATTTCTAATGTAGACGTAGACAATACGCAATGCTATTTACGACAGCATTTTAAAAAAGTTTCATATGTAGACACTTCGAATAAAAGTAAAATTAATGCCCATTTCAAAATTTGTTTGTATTTGTACCTATACGCTCCACTATTTTTCATTAAATATAGACTTCGACGATAGGCGGCTCATTTGAAAAACGATGGGGTAAGGATCTCTTGCCTACCGGTCCCGGTCCTAACATTAATATTATTAGGAGAAAAATACGTTCTCGTCATTTATGTTTGCATAATGACTTTTAACTTGTTATATTTATGCAGGGATTGGGAAAAAATTTGCGTTTCATTCATACGATTCTGAAGGAACACTCTTCCTCGTCTCGAAAGCGCTCATTTTTCGTACCTATGAAACAAATACCTAACTATTTCTTATTATTAGCATTGATTATACAGTGTGGAGTGTGTGTATAATCAATGCTATTAGATTACAACCTTCAATAAAGAGTAATTATGTATTTTTTGTTCTTCCGTAAGGCGAAGTACCTAGGATTCTCTCGAATTCTAGTTGAGACAGTCACACAACTGTCTATCCTGGAAGGCAGCTAGAGGATTCTCTTGTGCCTCATTTCGTTATGGGAACTACCCCACACCATCTTTCACAGATGGATCCAAAACAACGAAAAGCACAGAAATCTCTCTCACCCTCCATAAAATACCTACAACTCAATTTTTGAGGCACTTCTCGAGCTTCTATTGGCGACACAAGAACAGCTTTAAGAAACTTTAAACCGCGTGCAAAATTCGCAGCGTAAGGTAACTTTTGGGCGCCCTTTTCCTTGCAAAAGGAAAAAAACAAAATTTTGTCAGGCGTGCGCGTTTACAGGATCTTTCCGACGACACCAGTTTGAAAACAGTCGGACCAAAACTGTAGGAGAAGATACGAAAAAACTGAAAAATTACAACGTTAGTAAACCATGCTCGGGGATGGCGCCCAAATGTCGGCGACCCCACATAATGTAGCTCCGTCCCTAAAATTGTTACTTACACGTCTCCGTAGGTACACGTAGGTACACTCCTGATTTTTCTACAAGCGTTCTTGTTCGGGCCCCCATTTGCTCCCAGCCAGCCGGCCGGCCAAAGTGAGATCAAAAGCTACCTTTTACAAATAAATTTACAAATATACACCCAATATAAATATTTATTGCTTTGTTTTGAAGACGAATTTACCCTAGTGCCTAGATATACTCGCAATATATTGCATTTTGACATGCAAGTCGTGTTGCTAGCAGCACAGATTACTCGACACAGGCAATAACGATATCACGTTGCGTCGTTGTACGAGTTGCAGTATGAAAGGAGCGTGAATAAATACATATTTGCAATAATATTACCCATTGTTTGTTGAAAGTTGCTAGTAGTTGTATATAAGTATATTGGGGCCCCCTAAAATTATTTTGTTGCATCTACAAACGCAGCGTTATTTGGGACCATACAACAGGCGACAAAAAAAGTGCGCATGAAAGCGACCTCAGCGGCAAACAAGAAAAGTTATGCATGCCTACCCGAATAGTTCAAAATTTTCTTTATTAGGTACATACAGATTTCTGGAGCACTAGGTACTAAGGTCAACAAGGCCACAAACAAGTTAACAAATAAATGCCTCGTCCTCGGTTTGTTTTCAGGCATATCTATAGTTACCTATTTGTTGAGGTCACAAGTGCTTTAAATTTAATAAATTACACGCAATCTGAAATGCTAGGGGGAAAAAAGCGCGACTGTTCCTTATACTAATCTTTGTGAAGGTGTTGTCCATCTATCCGCAGTACTAAATGGATTAATTTGTGCAATTGAGCTTTCATAGACTTTCCAAAGCTCATTTAAAAAACAATTTCAAAAAATACGTGAGCCAAACCAAATCATTTTCCGTTTACCTTACCAATTTATTTTCCCGACTGTATATGAACTATTCAAATTATACGGTGCATATCTATCAAATTCTTTATCTTAATTCTTTGAAAGAGATAGTTTTTGCACAGCAAGTGCGCCCTGTAAATCCTCAATTATTTTCTAACGGCAATTATGAAATGCGCGACGTTATTTTTAAACTACAGGAAGAAGCGTCATGGATGCAACCCGGTTTATTCCAGCGCTGATGGTAACAATAGGAGCAATGCGGCGTGGTAGCGTGATAATAGGTATAAACGTAACTTATGGGGCGGAAGTACCCTTCCTGTTGGCACCTTAATGTGTCACGACCATGCTAAATTGGAAAACTATACTTCTTCCCCCCCTTCCCAATGGCGGTACTTCTGACAACTATTTCGTGTCAGTTGGCGACGTAACCTTTCAGTTACTCATGCTTTTCTTTATACCCTACAATCCATTGATTTACTTTACTCGTTGAATGCAACATGGATGCGTGTTTTACTGCATTCGATAAGAACGGGTGAGTAAATTTTGATTTACAAGGCACTGTCGGTGAAATGTTTATTCCGCTAAAATCGCAAAATGTTTATCAACAAATTTGAATTGGTAAAAAAATACAAAAATCCCTAGCATTTAAATGAAGAGAAGCGCGCACACGCTAGTGTGTATATTATTTTTTCACCGGGAAATGTGCTTGTTTAAGACACATTTTGTTTTACACACACCTGCAATGTTTCGCCATTTATCTAATGAGTATATTCTCAATTAATTTCCTGCAAATAAGCACCCGCTTTCAATGGAAAAGAACGTGCATGTATTGATTAACTGGGAGAACAACATAATGCACGATTTACATACACTGGGTAGATTTTACACAAACACAGGTGTCATTTTATCCTGTTTGTTTAGCTTTAGAGGTATTTTGTTGATACGGAATAACGTATATCTATCTTCCTTATCGGTTAAAAATATTCGCTTATTCATGAGTAGGTTTGCGCTTCTTGTTACTATTGCGCGCCAATCATTTTTCATCTAAAACGTACTTGTACCTTTGAGTTTTGTTAGTGAGAATAGTAGATTATTTAGGCAAATACACACACGATGATTGAGGCACCTTAATCTGCATAATTATTTATGGTTGCCATATCGATGGAATTGTTTATTGCAATAGATACTTATTAACTTATTTATGTTTATTTGTTCGAATCGAACTATGTAGGTATATAGCAATGAGCAAAAGAAACGACGACAGTTTCGGTTGAACTGCGAATGAGTGATGCTGACATCATCTTTCACATCACAAACCTTCGCTTGCCCTTGAAAATTATTATTACATATACATATTGCAAAATTTTTTTATCTACGTATATATAGTATAGTACGCAAGTTACCCATAGTTAAGCTGCAATATGCTATGCTTCATAACCACGCCATTATGTATGAAGAGTGAAGAGGTCCGTGAAGTTGGCAAAAAATTAAGTCTACTATTGATTGCTTTTTAGTGCTGTAAAATTGACGTAACGGAGTAACTCACATTTTAAACACCCTTGTACACGTTTGGCCAACTATACTCAGTTGCGAGAAAAATAGAACACGGTTTACACGTTTGTCTAACTAGTTGGGCAAATGAATTGGGCGAACTGGACATATGCTCAATTCTGCATTCGCCATTTTAGACGAGATGGATGTAGAGACTATTGATTTGAGTAATTTAAAAAAAATAACTCAAAAGATGATGGTGGATGTAGTACCTACTTACCTATTCATCGGAACAGAACACTACCATTTCTGCTTTTATACGGCAACTACGAACAGATTAACTGAAGGAGCAGGTGGGTGTGCAGAAAAACCGACATTTGTTAGTCCAAGTGGCCTTGTATGTACATGTTGGACAAACCCGAGGACAAACCTGTACAAGGGGCAGTTCTAGAATCCGTAAACGAACGCACGAGTCATCGAGTTAGACGAGTCATCGAGTTACACGAGTCCGGCGCAGTATTGCAGCGCACACTCACGGCATTTATTTATAGAATGAAGAAAATACTGCACTGTCCCGTCGATGGTCTATGGCAGTTGGCACTGTCTTTCGGTAAAAAAAGCGGCTGTAGCAGACCCAGTGAAAAAAGCCCAAGTTTTCATTCATGCCCACTTACCTAATTTGAAATACCTACTTAGCAGTAGTGTGATTATCCCCGCACATTTAATGCACCTCGATTTCTTAAAATTTTAAGTTCATTCTTTTAAAAATTAATCTCACATTTCAAGATAAATTAGAAAAAGGTGTTCCCGACATAAAACATTCAATACAATGAGTTTTTTCTCCAACCACCTGAATAAGACGCTATTTTGTGACAGTGTTCGGTACGTAAAATTGACGTTTTGCGGATTAATCGCTTTCACCATGGCAACTGTACAAAAAGTAGATACTTTTGGTCCTAGTACCAAAAAGAAATTGACCTTGAAAGTTGGCCAATTAAAAAATTACAATCACGGAGATATGTCACATTGACATCGTTTTACATTGCAGGTTATAAGATATTTCTATACATACAAATCAAATCTTTTTGCATATTCAATGCAAATAATGATGTCACCTATACGTATGTACATGTATTGAAAATGATTTACGCTCGCTATTTTTATTTAAACTATGTGTAACGTAATTTACATATTCGATGAACGTAATTTTAATACGTATACAACCCGCCGTCGCGCGTAACGCCATCTACTTCAGACCCCTTGCACTATTATCTGTCATTTTGAATTCAAAATTTGAAAAAGTTATTTGCAATTAATTTTAATTAAAAAACTGTACGGTAAGTTTTTTATTTCAATACAAAATATAACAATATTAATTGTGTATACAATAAAATGACTGAAACTGATAGCGACATGGATTGCACTCCGCCAGAGATTATAGAAACGGCAGAACATGCTACCTCAAGATTTGCTCCCTACAAAGTCGCGAGAGGTGAGAAGTAAGAAGTCAGAACGAATAGGTTATAAGTTAACCTAAAAACTAGAGTGGCATGACACGTGAGGACAAGAAAGCAGAAGTTCTTATACTAGTAGTGAAACTGTGACTGAATCTAAATTCGAATATAATTTGAAGTAAAGGGGGTTGGAGAAAAAATTGTATGTTTTATTCGTACAAAAAATGCGTTTTCGGGACTCGGAAGGTTGCTGGACTCCGCTAACGCGTCGTCCAGCAACTATCTTCCTCGTCCCGAAAACTGACATTTTTTGTACTAATGAAACAAATAACTATTACAAGATGCAGCCAGCAGCTACTACAAAAATTATACCCTCAATGGAAGAGCTATTTTTATTTTAATATATTTGCTTATCTTGCATAAATAAAAAGAATACGCTAAATGTTAAATTATTTTTTGAAAAGATAAAAACTTTTTTTTTTAATAAGTAAATGAATGCACATGTTTACCTAATAATAATAATTATAAAAATGTATAAATCCAATTTAACCAGTAAAATTGATTAAAACAAATAACAGGAAATAATAATGAGGTGTAATTAACAATGTATTGGGAAATGTTAGCAAACATTGCGAATTTTCTCCACCTTAGAAACAAGTAATTTAAAGAAGATCTCATTATAGACAAATGGAGTAAAAGGAACAGATATTTGTTCAGCTTCATTCACTACACCTTTTCAATAAACTTGTTTACATACTTAGTCCTTGATCATTGTACCTGGTTTATTGTGTTTAACAATAAATGAAGAAAATATGCAAAACTGAAAAGGATGGAAATATACCGTTTTCCCACTCCACGAATATACGTAGAAATGTGTATTGTGGTGGTCTAACCAATTGCAATAACATTGAAATACAAATTGACTACAGAGGAGCCTTAGACCTATCAGACCATAGTGCTCAGCTGCACTATAAATAAATAAATCATTATGTTATTCGGAACTCTCAAAATGAAGAGAAAACACTGAAAAACACACGTACACATATTACACAAATTACAGAATAGATAACTTCTAACTCCAACTGATAATACTCACATCACATCGTAAAAACAATTCTCTTTGAAAAGCTTGTTCATCTACTGGAAGTGTTATAAAATCACACAATACAGTTAGATGAAGGAAATTAATTATAATCGTTTTTGAGTGGAATGGAGTTCATGCCCAATCTACTTCTGATGATGCGTTTAATATATTTTTATTATGTGTTGTTATTGTGTATCAAAACTGTCACAATTAAAGCATTGTGTGCCACAGGGATCCCCACTGACTGTGACCTATACACCGACCACATCATGTTTGCTGATGACACTTCTCTTATTAACCAATTTGATAGCTTACATTCGTTATTAAAAATCTTAAGAGACTTGCTTCAATCGAATCTGTAATTACCCCTCTCCCTCTTGTGGGACCTCTGTCTACCACCATTTCTTCCACCGATCTTATTATGTCCTGCTTCCCCACGGTATTGAAGGCGTTCCTGGTATTGAATGATGCCAAACACACCCCCCTTGTCCTGCGCATTCCACCGTTCGCATTCTTCCTTATGTTGTGCAGCATCTTTATCGCGTCTACTGTTCATCTACCTTCTCGGAAGCGATATTGTCTTTCTACCGGTTGCTAATTGCCGCCTCCAGCGCTTGGGCAAGAGCTGGCCAATAGTACGTCGCAGGGCCTCATCATTCCATCCTAATGCGTACCTACCCTTTCTTGTTGAACTTACCCGTCACTATATCCCATACCCGCTATACCAAACGTCCTTTTAAGTCCTTTTTTCTGTCGTGGTACGTTGTCTTGATTCCTTGAGGGCTGCAATTGCGTCTTCAATAAGAGGCCTTCTTCGCTATGGTCATAATTTTCCTCTTTGCGACACACGTTCTGCGAAGCTATTCTATTTTAGTATTCAAGCAGAACATCACCCTGTGTCTTGGTATTCCTGCCTAGTTCTTTGTGTGTGGGTGTTTTCTCTCCTTCACCTACATATAACGATGGTCGCTCAAGTTCTCTTAGCGATTACTGCCCATCGCCAGACGACACAGGTTACCTCCCTACAAGATTTTCATGAGGAAGCGAATGCTAGGATAACGCTACAGATACAGATGTATTTTTGCTGCTTCTTCATAGCTTCGTTTGCTTGCTGGCCGGTACTTCAAGAAAGATGGTCTTTGTTCCTATCCTTGATATGTGCAGAGGAACTGGCCAAAGGGGGTAGTAACGAATATCCTGTCCTTTTACGCTATCACAGGAAGTGATGTCACGTTATTACTGTCATCAATTTCCAAGCTTGCATGCATTTATTTATTTATTTTTGGCCTTTATTTTCAAGTGAACACACTAGACATTTACAAATAACCATGCCCGAACCCGGATTTGAATCAGGGACCCTTGCCACTTAGTCGAACTTCAACTCCACTGCGCCACACGGCATTTAAAGTTTTTCGAAAGCACTTTTCTTTGCTGTTCACGCTCTAGGAGCATAACCCTCAGCGAGAAGATATATCTTCTGCAAATGTGTTCATCGCAAAACTG